ACCTCCAGCAGGCTGCTGGTGTGCATGTTTCTGACCAGACTGTTAGGAACAGACTCCATGAGGGTGACATAAGGGCCCGACATCCTCTAGTGGGATCTGTGCTCACAGCCCAGCACTGTGCAGCTCGGTTGGCATTCGCTATGGAACACCAAAATTGGCAGGTCTGCCATTGGTGCCCCATTCTCTTCACAGACGAGAGCAGGTTCGCACTGGGCACATGTGACAGGCAAGATGCCTGCTGCCAGTAACATCATCCAGCATGACCAGTTTGGTGGTGGATCAGTAATGGTGAGGGGAGGCATATCCTTAGAGGGTTGCACAGACCTCAATGTCATAGCCAGCAGTACCCTGATTGCTGTTAGCTACCGGGATGAAGAGCAATAATCAGACCTTACGCTGTTGCAGTGGGCCCTGGGTTCCCCCAGGTGCAGGACGCCCTGATCCATGTCCGGAAGGAGATTCCCCAGGACACTTTGCACCGACTCAACAGCATGCCCAGACGTTATCAGGAGTTCATACGGGCATGCGGGGGCCGTACACACTACTGAGTCACATTATGAGTTGCTCTGATAAAATTCACACAAGTTGGATCAGCCTGTGATTTCAGTTTTGACTTTAGCCCCTTTTCCACCACAGGAAGTTTTCTCATTTATCTGAGATTTTGAAAAACCTCTGCACGTTTCCACCGAAATTACCCAGATAAAAAAACTTTCCCTCGACCCCAGACTTTCCCTGAAAAAAGTACCTAGTAGGGAGGTAGGACTTTTCAGATTACCTGGAATTCTTGAGGGGCGGGGCTGTGTGCTGAAGAACGCTGATTGGTGGAACACACACTCGCAGCGTTCCGCACTTCCGTGTCAGTGTGTCTGCAAACTTTAGTTCATTTCTTCAAGCTTCACTTCGTTTGTGCTTTTTTTTTATTGAGGATTGGTACAGAAACCCGGTACTAAATTAGCCCCGGGGCTAAATTATTAAAGACCGTAGTATTGATAAGCACTAACAGGCATGTGCCATCGCTGATCTCCACACACACACACACACATCCACACATACACTGACGCAACACGGTAACCGGTGAACAGCCGAGCAGCCGCAGTGGAAATGAAGTGAAGATAACTCGAAAATGACTCGAGTTGACGGCTGCTACACTCGTTACTCTAAGTGACATTAACCCTTAGTGAGTAAGCAGCCAATACTTTATCAATACATGTGTTCAGCGAGCATGAACATGTAAACATGTCATTTTCAGTGCGACTTTAAATCCAGCCCTCAGTGGGTTGATGATTTTGGTTTCCACTGACAGTTGTTACGTCATGAATCATTTGTTCATCAAGATCTGATGTGTGATTTAAGTGTCCCCTTAATATAACAATAATAACATAACATTAACATTAATCATAATCTAAACTTTAAAAAATACCAATTAATTTACTTTTCCTCACAGAAATGAATGAAATGCTGAGATAAAGGCCTACTGTATATTTAAAAGAAAAGTTTTCTTACACCCCTTTACATCATGAAGGCCTCGTGACCCTGTGTGAAGCTTTGGCTTCCCCGAATGAGGGCCCCGACCCCCAGGCTGGGAACCAGTGCTGAAATGAGTGCACTTTTCTGGTTTGACTTTTGGGAATGAGTTTGGGTCACTTTACTTTTCAACTAAGATACAGAGCATTAAAATACAAACTGTACCTCCACTTTGGTTGAAGCGCTGCTTCAATCTGTCAGTTTCGGCTTTGGAGACGTTTGGCAGGATCACAAGACACTGTACAGTGTACCACTCCAGCTGCTGTGGATTGTCTTCTAATGCTGTTTTCACCCAGTCCTGTTTCACTTCTACGACCTTTATATTGGTGTCGCAGTAACCCGCCAGAAGGTCATCAACCACTGCAGCACCCACAAGCTGTGGGTATTTTAGGATTCCAGAAGATGCAGTGAAGAAAAACTTCAGGGAGTGTTTTACTGCAGGACAAATGAGGAACATTCAGTTTAAATATACACATCATCATCACCCATCATAAATATGATATATGTGGCAGGCCCGTGCACAGATATTTTTGGGGGGGCCAGTGCTCATGCAAAAAAAGGGCACCTCTCTAATAATTATTAATTGAAAAAATACCCCAGACCCAGGAAACTCTTTATTTTCCACGTTCTGGTAACGTTGTCTGCATTGACTTATAGTGGAAATGTATTTATTTATGAAAAAAAAAAAAACTAAATTCAGGTGGCAGGCGACAATTCAAAATAAAAAATATGATAGAATATAAGACAGTAACACTCTCAGGCATTCTGTACTGCTTTCAAATATTTATTCTCCTGTAGATCAACTTGTCCTATGTCATGTTGTGTGCTGAGTCAACACATTTTACTGTGTGTAAATGACGGAGCGTGTTCTGCAGAGAGGTTTCAGTGGTTCTGGATGTACAGAGTAGAAACTGCTCTGACACAGCGACACACTGAGGATGATTTCTGCCTCAAAGTTTTTAAATATGAAGTTAACAGAGTGCTGAAGAGAAAAGACTCTGTTGAGGTAGTAGTAGTTTGGTTTTGGCTATTTACATCAATTTTTCTCTTGTTGTTACGTTCCCATCAGAACCCTTTAATTTAACCTGCGATCCATCTAAATGCTTTATTTCCTGTTGCTTCAGAAATAAGAATAAAGTCACATTTTTAAAAATTCAATCCACCCCCCGAAGACCTTGTAAACAAAATTTTGAATTTACAAGGAAACTGCTGTGATTTCATTAAATAGTCATAATAGCCACTAATTCTTATAATTATCTTATAACACTTTAAATATTAATAAAGAATCCTAGAGAACAGGCGCCTGCAGCTTTGCTCTCCTTCTCTATGCAAGGCATGTGCAGCAACAAATTGCATTCAGATTTATTTAAATTAAGTATCACAGCTGCAGCATGGGGGATCTAAACATTATTTCAAGTTCAGTTTTGGTTTATAACGACACGTGGACATGGGAATGTAATTTGGTGTCTTACTCTGCTCACCGGGCAGCTGTGAGGTGGGGGGACAGGAACACGTGGGCCAAATTTAAAATAAGACAAAATAAATAATAAATGTCCAACAAAAAAGGGCATTTATCTAGTCAGAGCGCAAAAGGGCAGGTATTCATTGTGGTCAACTTTAAACTTACAGTCTTACCAAATTCTAAAGTACTGTAGAAGTAAAAGTGAAACTAAACAAGTGTTTCCTGGAGCTACGCAGGAACAAAATACAAACAAAATACAGAGCTCAATGGAAAGTGAAGCAAATATTCACAGTGTGATCTCACCTGATGATGACACGTGACACAAGAGAAGCAGCAAATGTAAAATTTTCATCTTGTTTTGATGAAGAAGTGACCGTGCTGGGGCAGCTGCTTGTTCCGCATTTTCTTGGTAGTTGGCACTGGGGGGGGGGGGGGCCTCCTCCTCTTCCTCTTCCTCTTCCTCTTCTTCTTCTTCTTCTTCTTCTTCTTCTTCTTTCATTTAATGGCGGATTACAACCAACTTTTTCAGGTGCATACCGCCACCTACTGTACTGGAGTGTGTAGTGTCATGGTGTGTACTTCAGGTTACATTCTAAACAGGAAAAAGAAAAAACAAAACACGGGTAAAACTCCCTTATACTTTATTTTCTAATACTGTGTCTTTGAGGAAACTAAATACTGCCCTGTAACATTCCCTCATTTTCCCACTCATCCCTAAAATTCCTTCCAAGCTCCATTCCTGTTCCAGCTCATACATCCTATCACACAACCTGTTCCTTTCTAACTCATACTTACTACATTTCAAAATGACATGCTCAACACTCTCTGGAACATCGCACCCATCACATTTATCAGACGCAGACTTTGCCATTAGATACAGAGTTGATTTTAAACTAGTGTGTCCTAGTCTTAACCTGGAAATGATTACTTCTTCTCTTCTGCATTTTCCTTTAAAAACCTTTGTGTTAACGGACTTTTGTATTTTATAGTAGTGTCTTCTTCTGCCACGAATCTATCACTGCCTTTCTGATTATTGATTTTGCCTCACCTTTTCCGAAGGGAATTTTCATTATCTCTTCATTACTTAATCTTAAAGTTCTTTTGGCAATATTGTCTGCTTTTTATTACCACTAACACCTACATGTGCAGGAACCCAACAAAATTGTACAAAAATTCCACTTCTGTGTAATCTCCACATTATCACATGGGGCAGCAGTAGCTCAGTCCATAGGGACTTGGGTTGGGAACCCGGAGGGTCGCCTGTTTGAGTCCCCGTCCGGACCAAATATGGAGCGTGGACTGGTGGCTGGAGAGGTGCCAGTGGTGCTGTGGCAGTTCTGACCTCTCATTGTTCCGACCTCTCATTAGACCAACGTTTCGATATGTGATTATACTGTACTATACTGTATTTGTGTACCATAGAGGATCAGCAACGAAACAAAAGTAGGCTACTGGTCGAGATACAAGTGTCATAGAGAGGAGAGAATGAAACACCATAACCTCCTGTTATTAACTCTGGGGTCGGGGTTGTGTGGGGTGCTCTCCGCGGTGCTGAACGGCTCCCGGTGGGCGTATTTCAGCCTTGATGGTGCGCCGCGACCGGCTCTGGGTCAGCTGGGAAAGGCTTGAGGCAAAGCAGGCTCACAGCTTATGTGTTTGCCACTTTCTTTTTCATTTTAACCCACACCATGATCTTTTCCTGACCCTAACCAAGTGGTTTTTGTGCCTAAACCTAACCAGACCTTAACCACAGGGCATCATGATGATTTCGGAACAAAGGGACTTCGGAACAATGGGTTTAATATGGTCGGACCAATGGGATGTCGGACCAATGGGCTGTCAGACCAATGGGCAGACCCCCCTGCCAGGTCACCTCCTGGGCACTGCCGAGGTGCCCTTGAGCAAGGCACCGAACCCCCCAACCGCCCAGGGTGCGTCACCAAGCCAGCCCCCTCACTCTGATATCTCTCCACTTTGTGCATGTATAGGTCCTGTTTGTGCATGTGTGTGTGTCTTTCAGACCTGTGTGTAATTGACAGCAAGAGTGAAAAAACTGCATTTCCCCTCAGGGGATTAATAAAGTATATAAAATTAAATGAAATTAATTAAATTAAAAAAAATCATTAATATTTCCATCACTAGATCCTCTCTTATTGATTCATTTGTATTTAAGCTCTGAAGAACTGCAGTGGAATCTGAGCAAATGACCACTCTCTCAGGCCTAACCTCTTCTATCCATTGTAATGCTAGTATTATGGCTGCTATTTCTGCAGTAAATACAGACAATCTATTATTGATTATTTTACAAATACTTACATTAAACTCTGGTATGTATATTCCTGTTCCTACTTGTTCACTCTCTGGATCTTTAGACCCATCTGTAAAAATGGGGAGAAAGTTGTAATAATTTCTCTTCAAATAATCCTCAACATAATGATGTTATCCATATTCATCTTGCTCCACTCGCTCTTCTGTTCTACAAGTTGTAAATTTACAGTGGGTACTGGGAGTATCCAAGGAGGAACATTGCCCCATACAACACCAGGGCCAAATTCCAAATTATTTAATCCATATTTTCCTGCTATAGACTTGATATTCCATCCAAACCCTCTCCTTATATGCTGTTGTGTATACTCCCAGCAATCAGAAAGTACCGCTTTTGCAGATTGATTTTCTCCATATCCATTTAGTTTAACCCAATAAGCTAAAGACAACTTTAATCATCTTAGGTGTAATGGTAATTCATCTGCTTCCACCAGTAATGCATTAGTTGGAGTTGTTCTGACTGCACCAATACTGATTCTTATAGCTCTGAACTGAATTCTATCTAACTTTTCCAAAACACTCTTAGCTCCATACACCATACACCATACAACCATAATCAAAGCTAGATCGTATTAAGGCCATATATATCCATTAAAGATTGCTTATCTGCTCCCCATGCATATCCCGCCACTGATCTCATGAGATTCAACACTTTTTTACATTTAGTCTCCACCTGTTTAACATGATTTCTCCATATACATTTCTCATCAAACCACAATCCTAAGTATTTGAACTCACTTACCCTTTCCATGTTTTGCCCATATAATTTAAGCTGTATATCTCTTAGCTTTCTTTTCCTGGTAAAGAGCATGTAGCAAGACTTTGTATCAGACATCTTGAACCCCCAATTATAAGACCATCTCTCTACCTGTTGTATAGCCCTCTGAATGCAATTAATCACATGGATGATATTTCTCCCTCTTTTCCATATCGCCCCGTCATCTGTATAAAGTGATGACTCAATATCTCCACCAACATTTTGAAAGATATCATTTATCATTACGTTAAACAGGATTGGGCTAATAGCACTACCTTGGGGAATGCCATTTACTATTTCAAACTCCTCTGAAATAGCATCCCCAACTTTAACTCGAAATGTCCTATTGGATAGGAAGACTAGAATCCAGTTATACATTCTTCTGCCAATACTCATTTTAAACATTTTGATTAGCAATCCCTCTCTCCACATAGAGNAAACTGCTCTGACACAGCGACACACTGAGGATGATTTCTGCCTCAAAGTTTTTAAATATGAAGTTAACAGAGTGCTGAAGAGAAAAGACTCTGTTGAGGTAGTAGTTTGGTTTATTTACATCAAATTCAGCTTCCTACAAACATGGTTCTTTTCCTTAGGCTTATATTATTTTATTTTATTTTTTATTTTTTGTTGTTGTTACATTCCCATCAGAACCCTTTAATTTAACCTGCGATCCATCTAAATGCTTTATTTCCTGTTGGTTCAGAAATAAGAATAAATTCATGTTTTTTAAAATTCAGTCCACCCCCCGAAGAACTTGTAAACAACAAAGTTTTGAATTTACAAGGAAACCGCTGTGATTTCTTTAAATCATAATAGCCACTAATTCTTATAATTATCTTATAAAAACACTTCAAGTATTAATAAAGAATCCTAGAGAACAGGCGCCTGCAGGGACTGCACCTTTGGGCTCCTCCTCTCCTCTCTGTGCTCTTAGCACAAGGCATGTGCAGCACCAAGCCGCATTTCAGATTTTTTTTTTATATAAATAAGAGCCACAGTGTGGGAGATCATAACATTATTTTGACTGGAGTTTTGGTTTTTATAGACATGTGGAAGTGAGAAAGTAATCTGGTGTTTTACTCTGCTCGTTGTGGGTAAATATTACATTAGAAAAAGAAACAAACAAAATGTCTCACAAAAAAGGGCACTTAGGCTACCTGGTCAGAGGGCAAAAGGGCAGGTGCTTGAACACCACCTGGGGTCTATGTGTGCATGTGCCTGATATTCATTGTAGTCAACTTTAAACTTATAGTCTTACTAAATTCTAAAGTACTGTAGAAGTAAAAGTGAAACTAAACAAGTGTTTCCTGGAGCTACGCAGGAACAAAATACAAACAAAATACAGAGCCCAGTGGAAAGTGAAGCAAATATTCACAGTGTGATCTCACCTGATGATGACACGTGACACAAGAGAAGCAGCAAAAGTAGATTTTTCATCTTGTTTTGATGAAGAGGTCATCGAGCTGGGGCAGCTGCTTGTTCTGCTTTTTCTTGCCAGTTGGCACTAGGAGGAGGGAGTAGGCTCGTTCGAGATAAACTGCGTCTCGCCTGGAAAGTAGCAGAGAGCAGGCGGCCGCAGCGGGGGGCAGTGACAAAAAGCTGCGGTGAAGTCGGACGGTTTCCCGACAGTTTCCAGCAGCCTTCAGTCCGTGCAGGAAGTCACAGACACACTAACATCCTGTCTGGAATGATGTCAATTCATTAAAAAAATGATCAGACCCATATATCAGTTTGTTCTCAGTCTCCAGTTGTTTTAATTATGATAGATTAATTTATTAAAATGCTTTACAGGCGACCTGTAGTTTATGTTCATGGTTTATCCTCCATTTGACAGCCCAGTGTTAATATACAGTAGACTCTGTATAGTTTATGGTGAATGTATTCAGTCTCTGATGACTACACTTCACTATCAGTCACACATGTTTTCTGTTCACAGAATAAACCTTCAAATCAGACAAATACAATCTAAATCTCTAAAATTCTACAAAAAAAATCTGCTGTTGCATTAAAAGGAAAAAACAGGAAGGAGCAGACAGAAAAACAATGCAAAGACTGTAGAGATGCAAATCTACCTCAATGATCAAAGCAAACAAGGGAACAGGCAGGTAGGGGAGAACGGGGTTGGTTCAAACACAGTGCCTGTTGACAGGAGAAAACAAACTGCTCTGCCAAATATGCTGCAGCTCTGTCAACAACAGATGAAGAGTGTATTTTTATTAGCTTCTGAAATACTTCTGAAGCTTGCTGCAGCACATCTGCTGTCTACAGTGACCACAATCAGCTCAGGTGACTGCCTGGTGGACATCCTCTCTCTGCTGAGTGGACTTTTTTAGTTCACAGAGCTACTGGTGAGCTGTTTCCTCCTGACTCTGTGTTCATACTAAGCTAAGCTTGTCTGGGAGCTTCCTCTGCTCAGAGCTGACAATAATATCAGTCTTTTAATCCAACTCTTCTGTAAGAACACTGAATGTAATATTCATATTACTGCAGCTATAGTCACAGATGAGTCAATCTGGAAATCCATCGGTAAAAAACAAAAAACAAAAAAAACCCTTTTTTTCCCCTTCCTTTACCCCTGGAGACACTGTCTCTTAGGGCTGCATCCCAAGTCTCTTAAAATTACTGCTAACCACCTTACCTAACTGTTTAGTCCCTCCCACTTAGGAAAACATGTAAGGAGTCAGGAGTTAGGAGTGAGGAGCGAGGATTGCTTATTAAGAGACATGAGACGGCCTTACTCTGAAGCGTCACGCACCTAACAGATCCCTCCTAACTCCTAACGCTAACTCCTTACTGGAAGGAATAAGAGACATGAGACAGCCTTAAAGATGGCGGACCCCGAATGACTTCCAGTTCAAGCCAGGAGTTAGGAGTTAGCAGTATACAATTAAGAGACTTGGGATGCAGCCCCAGAGTTTTTCGACTAACGGAAGTGCAGGGGCCTCGGCGATCGCTCACGCCCTTCACTTCCGGCGGTGCCCCCAGGGAATTGCCTCGTTGTTTACAAATACTTCTGGGTAGAAAACCAGCAGAGTTGAGCTATATATCTATATATAGATATATATCTCACATTTTTCACGTCACTATATCACTGTTTAGACTAATCTGATGTTTGTAAAGTCTATAAACACAATGACTGAACAATTACTATTTCTGTGTGCACATTTTGTAATTAATAGCATGGTTATCGTAGATTAGCTGGGGTAACTGTTAGCCCCGTTAGCAGTGTCTGTAGTAACTCAGTAACTCAATAAACTGTCCGTGAATAAAATATTTTTCCCAGCGGATATCTTAGTTACAACATGAATGAGCTAGCAAAGCAGTTTTGTGTTGCTATGTGTGGTATTTTATTCAGTTTTGGGAAATCACGATGTCTAGAAAGCATCAGACTGCAGCTGACAGGGACAGCTAACAGCAGCAGCAAAGCTAACATCAGGACGTCATCTGTTAAAAGCCTCCCATTGTCGGATACGACATTAAACTACTCCAGTTAGCTTAATCATGTTGTAACTAAGACATCCACTGGAAAAAAAATATTTTTTTCACGTTGACGAGACGGCGTTTTGGGTGGAGCAGTCGACATGGACGCGGAGCTTGCTGTTTCTGTAGATACATATTTCCTGGGGACACCTGAACGTCTCGGCCCCGCCCCCTCCATTGTGATTGGCTAAAGAGCAGCATCATTCAAACTCAACTCAAAGATTTTCACAGTCATTTATGGTTATCAGTACACAGGAAAATGTGCCAAAGGTTGTGTGGATTCCTACAGAAGCTCAGTATTCACGATAAATAATGATTTACCTTTCATTAGGTCCTAGGTTAGCTGTGGCGTTATAAATCTACTGAGCCCTCTGACAGGCGACACCATTCTCTGACCCTGACCTAATGTATGTTTAAGCTGCCTTTAAATCCTTCACTCACCCAAGCAAAGAGCTGAAACTCTTCTATTTATCATATCTGCTCAGGCTAAACTACAGTGACTGGCCCAACTGACACAACAGATAATTTCATAAATGCCATGGTCCGCTCAGCGGTGCAACCACCATAATAATAATACATTTTATTTAAAAGCGCCTTTCTTGACACCCAAGGACACTTTACAATCAAAGACAATTGTTACGCCCTGGTCTAGGGGTGTGGGTGCGTAACATAAGGACACACAGCAACACGAGTATAAATGTACAGGTGAGCAATTTATTGCTACACACTTTAAAAAAACACACGGTACAATATGGCACACAAATGGAGCGATTGCGTCAGGGTGAACCCAGGCCAAAACAACAAACAAAAAGCAACCTGTCTACCGACCGGCGATATACCTAATTCCTAACGAAAACAAAAGAAACAAAAGTACAATACTAGGCCTAACTCCCTAGGCTAAAGAAAAACAGGAGAAAACAGATCCAACAGAAATAGCAGCTCACCCCTACGCTCAATGCAAACAATGTGGTAGTGACTATTTACAATAAATACAAACGACTCAGTTGGCCCTAAGGCACAGGTCTTAACAAAAAGATACAATATTTAGCAAGACAACCTAAATACGAACATACACACTATGGTCACACACGAGAAATCACTTATCACCAGATCAGAGAAACGATGCGCTGCTGCCATGTCAGAAAGTGGTCTCGCGGCTTCTTCTTCTTCTTCTTCTTCTTCTTCTTTTTTTAATGGCGGGTCGCAAACAACTTTTAGGTGCATACCGCCACCTACTGTACAAGACTGTGCATCATCATGTCACTTACCTATTTTTATATTTTAGCCGCCAGCCCTGTGTCCCTTAGGAACACAAGCAGCGCCCTCCTCCCCTTCCTTATCTCTTCTCCCTCTCCTTCTGTTCCCAGAATTCCATTTAGGCCCCACTCCCTACCTGCCTCTTTAATTTTTTCTTCAAATCTTTTCCTTTTTATTTTATACTTCATACATTGAAGCAACACATGTTCTACATTTTCCTTTACTCTGCACATATCACACAAATCATCTATCCTTTTCCCCAGTAACCACATGGTGTCATTCAGTCCGGTGTGTCCTACTCTAAGACGTGAAATGAGGATTTCCTCCCTCCTGTTCCTCTCTCTGTAGATCTTAGTTATTACTGACTTTTGTATTTTATGAAATCCTCTTCCTTTCTGATCCTCATCCCACTTTTCCTGCCATTTTTCCATTCCTTTTTTCTTGATTATTGTTTTTCCTTCTCCTTTACCTAGCTGAATAGGTATTGTAATTTCTTTTCTTAGTGATGCTTTTGCTAACTTGTCAGCCGTCTCATTCCCTTTCACCCCCTCGTGTGCTGGTACCCAGCAGAACTGTACATCCACACCACCCCGGTGAAGCCTTAATAGACTATGTTGTAGTTCTATTAGTAAATCTTCTCTGTCTGATTTAGTTGACTGTATACTTTCTAAAGTTGCTGCTGAATCTGTGCACACCACCACCCGATCTGGTCTGACCTCCTCCACCCACTGCAGGCATACAATGACAGCCACCACCTCTGCTGTGTAAACTGACAGTTGATTTGAAATTCTCTTAGAGATATGTACATTGAATTCTGGAATGAAAACACCAATACCCACACACTCATGTTCATTTTTAGAGCCATCTGTGAATATTTTTAGGTATCTATAATATTTTTGTCTCAGATATACATTTGTTTTAACTCCAGTTTCTGTCAAGCGCCATTCTCTTTTCTTTTCTAGAATGCTCATGTCAACTTTTGTTTCTGGGTACAGCCATGGAGGAACATTACTTGTAGGATTAGCTTTTGTAAACTCCAAGTTCTCCATGCCAAACTGTTTCACCTTATCTCCTATCTCCCATCCAAAGCCTCTTCTCTGAAATGTAGAGTATTCCCAACACGGTTTTAATGTATTAGTTGAGGGGTTTTCATCACCATTTCCTTTCAGTTTAACCCAGTATGTTAGTGAAAATTTGTCCCTCCTCATCTCCAATGGTGTTTCTCCTGCCTCTATTAGGACTGCATTAATTGGTGTTGTTTTCATGAGTCCTGTGCATATTCTTAAAGCCCTGTATTGTAATCTGTCTATTTTTTGTAGAGTAGTTTTTGCTGCTGCTCCATATATTATACAGCCATAGTCTATTGCTGACCTCATCAGAGCTTTATATATGTCCATTAGAGCTTGTTTGTCTGCCCCCCAGTAGCATCCAGCAACAGCTCGTAAAAGATTTATTACTTTTTTACATTTTGTTTCTAAATGTTGGATATGGGTTTTCCATGTGTGTTTATTGTCCAACCAAAGGCCAAGGTATTTAAACTCCGATACTTTCTGCAGTGGTTGACCATACAGTGTTAAGTTTACATTATTAACCTTCCGTTTATTTGTTATTATCATGTAGCAGAATTTACTGACTGAAAGTTTGAACCCCCACTCATATGACCACCTCTCCACTTCCTGTATAGCGCTTGCAATATTCCTGATAACATGCGTCACATTTCTGCTTCTCATCCATATGGTACCATCATCCGCATAAAGGGCTGAATTACTCCCATTTAGTTTTGAAAAAATATCATTAATCATGATATTAAACAAAAGTGGACTAATGGCACTTCCCTGGGGAATACCATTTTCTACCTCTAAATCCTGAGATAATGCTGTTCCTACTTTAACTTTGATTTTTCTGCCTGTTAAGAAATTCATTATCCAATTAAAGACTCTTCCACCAATACCCATTTGATTTAGTTTTATAAGAAGACCATCTCTCCACATTGAGTCATAAGCCTTCTCAATGTCAAAAAACACAATAACCATTACCTCTTTCATTTTAAAAGTCTTTTCAATTTCATTGCTCACTCTTACTAAGGCATCCACTGTTGAGCGCCCTTTTCTGAAACCACACTGATTATTATTTAGCAGCCCTTTCTGCTCCAGAAAAAAACGCTAATCTATTTACAATGACTTTCTCCATCCATTTGCAAATGTGAGATGTTAACGCAATAGGTCTGTAATTGTTTGGGTTTCCAGGATCTTTCCCCGGTTTGCTGAATGGCAGTATTACTGCCTCCTTCCAGCTCCTGGGTATCTGTCCCTCTCTCCATATTTTATTAAAAAGATTCAATATTATCTGTAACGTTACTTCAGGAAGCTGTCGGAGCATTGCATAACAAATCTGATCCTGTCCTGGAGCCGTATTTCCTGTGCCTTGTAAGGCTGTTTTAAGTTCTTTCATTGTGAACTCCATATCTAATGTTGAACTACAATTCTCTTTTTTCTCCCAGATGTTTTTATGTTCCCTAAGAACCTGCTCTCTCTTTTTCCTGTGTAAATCATCAAGGTGATCACCACTATGAGTGGCAATAAATGTTTTCCCAAGTAGCTCTGCTTTTCCTTTGTCTGAAGTTACCAATTCATCCTCATTAATCAAAGCTGGAGTTTTACCTGATTTTCTATTACCATTCATTTGTCTAAACATAGACCATACATGAGCTAATTTTGTTTCTCTGCCAATGGTGGAACAGAAATCTCTCCATGATCTCTTCTTTGCGTCTTTAATTATTTTCCGAGCAAGAGCCCTTTTTCTTTTGAACTCTATAAGGTTCTCTTGTATCATGTTTTTCATTAGCTTTCTAAAAGCCCTGTTTCTCTCTTTAATGGCTTTACTGCATTCCTCATTCCACCAAGGAACTACCCTCCTCCTACTCCCTGTTGTTTTCTTAGCAACAGTCAGATTTGCAGCATCTAGAATATGGTCTGTTACCTGTTTTGCATAGTCCTCAATATCTCCTTCAAGACTAATAGAGCCTACTGAGGCTTCACAATAGTGTTTAAATTTCTTCCAGTCAGCTTTATCAAAGCACCATCTTGTAAACGTGCAACCCTCTTGTTTAGATACCTCTTTATTCATTGTAATTAGTATTGGAAAATGATCACTACCTACCAGAGAGTCATTCCTAACATTCCATTCACAAGCATTAACTAAAGAGTCAGACACTAGCGTGAGATCTATACATGAAAATGTACCTCTATTTACATCGAATCTTGTCCCTTGTCCATCATTAAGACATACAAGTGATCTTTCATCTAAAATGTCTTCTATTATAGAACCATTACTGTCTGTGTGATTGCTGCCCCATAAAGTATTATGTGCATTGAAATCTCCACACCATATTTCTCCTCTGTGTGGACTTCCAGCCACTTCTTTTAACACTTCTACATCCAGATTTTTACATGGATTATAGAAATTTATTACCTTAATATTTCCCTTAATTCTTCCACTGCATATCTCAAGAATTACACACTCAATATCATTAGGTGAAGCAATCTCTCTATAAGCTAACCCATCTTTAATAAATGTAGCACACCCTCCACCATTCTGATTATTGGCTCTATCATGCCTAACTGAACTGAATCCAGGGATTATAAAATCTAAGTGAGGTCTCAGCCAGGTTTCCTGAATACATATTACATCTGGGACAGTTTCTAGAGAGTAAATATATTTTTTGAGTTCTTGACCATTAGCTATAAGACTCCTTGCATTCCATTGGAGAATAAGGAGGACCATAATTAATGTTTTAACTGACAGTTTGTACATTTCCAACTGATTCATCCGTTGACAATAGAGCATGGATTTGGTCAGCTTTTAGATCTTTCATTTCAAGGAACTTTCCTGCTGCCTCCACAATAGTTTTGATTTTATCACTTTTCCTCGTCATTTGAGTGGCTACATTAATGGTATGGCAGATAAAGGCCACAAACTGGATTTTGTTGATAGCTATGGTGTTTTCTCCAGTCTTACATTTGTGACTGCAGACACTCTGTACAGGGTTCTGCACCTGGCTTTCTCTTGTATGGGCTTTATCTTGCAGTACTTTTCTTTGAGCCTGCTCACTTACAATGACTTGGTGTGTTCCCTCCACTCTGACTTTCTTGAGTGCTTCTGCATATGATACCTTTTCTGTTATCTTAACCCTCTGAGCTTCTCTGGCTTCTTTTTGCACCACACAGCCTTCATATGCTGCACTGTGATCTCCACCACAATTACAACATTTAACTTTAGCGTCTTTTTCACATTTTCCATATTCATGCTGTCCTCCACATCTTGCACATCTAAGTTTTCCATTACACTGTTTGGCAATGTGCCCCATTCTTTGACAAGCAAAGCACCTGAGGGGTTTTGGGATATACTCCCTTACATTGAAATTTATGTAACCCATTTGCACTGATCTGGGGAGAACTTTCTCAAACTGAAGTATCACAGCCGTGGTATCTTTTAGTACCCCATCCCTTTTATTTTTGATTCTTGAGGCCTTAATCACTTTACCACCTTTAATTTCTTTTTTGATGTCTTCCATAGTCATACTTAAAGGTATTCCAGAAATGACACCTCGAACACTTGCTAAGTCCCCGGGTACGTGAGCCTTCATTCTCTCTCCAAGCAAGGTAGACATACCGAGAATTTTCTCTTGTTGTTGCTTGCTGTTTGCATGTATCATTACTCGTTTATTTTTCATAAACTTCGCAAACTTGATTTTACCAATCTCATCTTCGATTGCTTTAGTAAGCTTTATCGGGTGGTAATGCCCTCCGTCTTGATTAAACTCAATCACTACCTTCCAGTCGTTTGTTTGACCATGTTGGTCCTGCTTCTGAGGACTGTGTCTTGATTTTTTCCTCTTAGTGGGTTCGACTTCGCTGCCATCTGACCAGATTAACTCCCGTTCTTTCCTATTCCTCTCTCTAGCCGCCCTTTTCTGTCTTGTAGATCTGGATATCATCCACTCCATTTCATTCTCACTGAAACCATCTGAGGTAGTTGACATGATGATACAGTCAAAGTACAGTTTATGCAACCCGCCAAACAGTTTTCAATCCTACCACTCTCCAACTCACGCGATCCTGACGTTAGCTTCGTGACCCCTCCTCTCTCCTCCCGAGCCTCTGGTCTCGAGGCTTCCGTGTGGCCGGCATTATGAAGGTCGAGCCCCTTGCCCAACCAATCCGGCAGCGGTGACGTCACGCTCGTTACCCATTAGGCGACCGTTGACACTTAAGGCCGAGCCCCTTGTTCAGCCAATCCAGCCGGCGCAACGTCACAATCGTCTAGCGAAACAACTGCACACCTGTTAACATAAAACACAAGATCTCTGGAAAAAGGAGAGGTCTAACTCTCCACTAAACATGCTGGTCAAATGTATATACCTACATAGACATAAACACATACACATAATAAACACACAGGCGGCCGGGGGACGTAACAACAATAAAACATCAAAAACATCAAACAGTCAAAAAAACAGTGTTCAATCGAGATAACAACATAACAGCACAAAATAAATGTATAAAACACTGAGTTAACAATAAAATTACAAAACAGGGAAGGCTAATTTAAAAAGGTACGATTTCAGTTGACGTTTAAAAGAAACCAGGGAAGTGCACTGGCGCAGGACAAGGGGCAGAGCATTCCAGAGATGGGGGCCAGAATCATTGTCTATGTGGTTCCTCCAGTCTTAGGCGTGATTTATACTTGTGCGTCAGCTCTGTGCAGACCCCACTCCGTAGCCTAGCCATGTAACCTATGCATCTGCCTTTGCCATTGTGAGCATTTTTTCTTGTGCGGTGGTGTGTCTGTGTCACTCTACAGTTACACCTCCAAAACACTAGTTGGCGGCGGGGTTTCTATGAAGTGCTGTTAAGTTTAGTTGATTCAAAACACACCCAAAACACACATTAAACATGGCTTAATAGCAACAATAGTTGCACAACTACACAAATTGGCTTGACTGAAGCAAACACTTATATTTTGCTGACACATTTTCCCCACAAATACAACAGGCTTTTGTTAATAGCACAAGCCTATGGCATTTTACATTGTATAAATTAGCCTACTGGCTAGCAGAGATTTTCTCTACTCATATGAAGCCAGGTTCAACAGCAACATTTAACAAAGGTAAACTTTTGGCTCTATTGCAACTCACAAGGTTCATGGACAAAATAACTGTGATACTCAACACGTTTTCCAAGCAGATACAACATGCTAACGTTATTAACACAAGCCTATGCCATTTTACATTGTATAAATTAGCCTAGCAACCTTTATTGTTTTCACAATGTATTGCTTCTTGTCTGTGAAATTAACATAAATAAAAGCTTTATTTCTACTGAGGGAAATGGTTTAAGCTTCCACGAATAGACAGGAGGTCTGCGTTGCGGCGACATGCAGTGACATTTATGTGGAGGTGCATGTAGGGCTATGGTGTAGGGTACTGGGTAGGCTCCATGTCGACGCAGAGCCTACATCGTAAGTACGGCAGACAGAAGTATAAATCCCACATTACAAATAACTACTAGTTAGCAATCCCTGTGGTAAACTTTTCATGAATCATGTCTCTTCACTTGTCCTGTCTAATCCACCACAAGAGGTGATTTTCAGCACTGCATTCAGTCTCTACATGTTGACAGAAACCTGCAATTCATTTGTTCTGAAGCCATAAAATATTACAATATAATCAGTCAGTCAGGTTTCTGGATTGAGTTCCTCAGAGAGCTCAGAGCTGCCGTCAGGAGCTGTGTGGTCAGAAACAAACTGTTAGTGTGAAACTGTGTGAAGTCCACTCATCCTGCTCTGAACTTTTATAAACAGCAAATACAGAAAACACACTTGAAATAATCAGCACAATAATGTGAAACCTGTTTTAATCTGATTTGATCAGTAGAAATAGAATAAGAGTAAGTTTTACTTACGAGATGAGGGAAGTTTGGCTGAAATAAAAAAAAAAGAAATTATAATTTAAGTTACAGTCGGAAATGCCAGAATATATAAATCCATTCCATCCTTCTGATTAGTCCTTACTTTATTTACTTATCTCTTCTCTCCTACATCATTGTGGTTTAGTCGTATTATGACAGGCTCTGAGCCTGACAGCACTTACTGTTGGTTGTATAAAATTGAGTTGCAGGGAACTGATGTTTGTTTCAATTAACTTCAAATGCAACCAGGATAAAAGCATCAACTCAAAGGCCAAAATCAAAGAACTAGAAAAGCCAGTTAAACAGCACCTTTCCTCTTTTTGTAAACGATGAATCCAGAGGCAGCGACGAGGACGAGAACAACCACTGCTGTAGTGATGGAGACGGTGATGTCACTGGGCTTCTCTGATAACAACAACAAAAACAACAATGAAAAATGAGACTGGTACAAAAGCAGGTCAGAGCATCCATCCATCCAACATTTCATTCACACATACATATGGATTTGTTGCTGTGAACTAAGACTGACTTGGACTTGAGTTAATAGAGTATAACGGGCTCTTATCTTAAAAAAAAATGTAATCATATGTGTTGGATTTAAAATGACAGACACTGTGGCACATTTTGTTAAAAACTAGAATTACCTCTTCATGGTTGTGTGCCTCTGTGAAACAGTTTATTTTTATATCCTTGTCTGTGACAACACGGATGCTTCACACACATCTTCCCCCCGACAGCACAGAGGATCTAAACAATCAGCACAGTTTCAAGGTGGACACCCAAGATTAGTGTCACCAATTCAGTATCTGAGCAAATGTCTCTCCTTCTGTTTCTGAGTTATGATGCTGAATAATTTTTGCAGAACATTATGATGTCACAGTGAGGTGACCTTTGACCTTTTTTTCCTATCATCCTAACACTTGTGTGAAATTTGTCACAATTACTGTATGAATTAATTAGTTATGACCAAAAGCAAGTTGTGTGAGGTCATAATGACCTTTGACCTTCAACCACCAAATTCTAATCAATTTATTCTTGAGTCCAAGTGGACGTTTGTGTCAAAGTTGAGCAAATTCCTTCAAGGTGCTCTTGAGATATCACATTCACGAGAATGGTACAGACGGACAACCAGAAAGCATAATGCCTCATGCCACAGTTATCACTGGCGCAGAGGCATAATAATACAGGAATCAATGTATAAGAAAATAATCTAAAACTGGAATAATCAAGGTTAAAGTTGTCTTCAGTTTAGCAAACCTTTCATCCTCCAGCTCTCTTGGGTGTCACTGGCTTTGCAGAGTGATATGTAGGAGTTCATTTTTGCTAGGATTATAGCTGTGTGCATTCTCTTGTAGAGACCCTGGCAAATTGTTTGGCCGGTATTCGGCCACCTCTACCTGTCAAAATAGCAGGGTGGATCCCTGCTGTTTTGTCTCCCTTCTGTTTGACTTCCAGCTTTTTGGGTTTGATCAATATTCTCCCTTAATTTGCTGGTTTGGCTTGCCGATGTGGCTCTCCAGGAATGTCCTGATAGGCAGCGGCTTATAGCTGTCTGGGCCCACGCTTAAAAGGACATTCCGCTGTTTTAAAACATTTCATTTGTGTTAAATTTAACATTTGGTTAATATGTATTTTGTATGTTATAATTTAGTGTTGTTTATTGTTCTTTGTGCTTTATTTCTTTTGTTTGTTTCACTTAATTACTTGTGTTTGTCCACATCAGTATAGCTTGACATGTTTTAAAGCGACACTTACCTTTCTGGAAATGTTACGCTTTTCTTTGTTTTGGTTAAAATGCTATTAATAAGCTGTTGGCACACTAAAATGTAAGTGAATTCCACCAGAGATACAAACTCATAATTATACCATTCTCATATGGTTCTAAGAAAAATCATTGGCCGAGCGTCCTGTCTGTCTTCCCCACATGGAGGCCTCCAAATGACGTAACCGCTCGCGGCTCTGCTTTCTGCTTTTGAGCGATGGCGAATACTGATGCAGCTTCATCCTGGGCTAAAAAGGGACGAGATGGTGGCAGAGTTTCTGCTGGACAGGTATTTTTAGTTTGCCTCTGATGTAACATAGGCTATAACGTTATATATGACAACACAGCATCCAGTTGCTAATGGCTAATGTTAGTCTACTGTAGCGTAACCTCTGAAACATTAACGATATCTTCCTTGTGCGTTTCCACTTACTAGTAAAGTTAACGCTACTATCTAACGTTAGCACTGTAACCTTATTCTAAAACTCATCAGTCATCACTGACTCCGGTTAAGTTTTAAAACTCCAGGGTTGCGTTTGACTGTCTTGATTGTAATGTTAACGTTATAGTAACCAGACCTAATTTAGCATATTTCTTCTTCTCTTGGCATGTTAAACTCGCGGGGAAAGCAAAATTCTCCGAAAAGGAGCAATGGTCACAATTTTGGTCTTAACCACTTTATTTCATCATAAACAACCCAGAAATGGGGCTCAAACTGCAAAATACTGGACTTCTCCTTTAACTTAAGGACTTATGCCATGTTCTCATACCCTTGAGCCACCTGGTGCTAATTCTATCTTATCGTAATGGTGAGTGAGACTTGATTTTCTTCTTTTCAATAGTTCATTTAGTTTTGTTAAACAAAGTTTCCCTCCTTTTTAATTTGAAAACAGCCTCTTCCCCCGTGGTATTTTTGAACCTGTGGGACCTTACTCCTTAAAATCTTGGCTCAGAATTTCCTGGTGGTGAAATTCCCCCAGGTGGCATTTTCGCAACCACCATAGATATCCTCTCTCTCTCGCCACATAAATACATCTTTCTCACATCTGTCACTCTTACCCATGTTGGTCCTGATCACTGCTTTGTCCAGTGTGGTGACGATGTGGTCCTTCACACCAGAGAGATGAAACACACAGTCGTACCTCCTCCAGTCTTCAGGTGGGACTGATGAAAGGTTCAGGTCAACACTCATCTGGAAGGATCCATCGTGGTTGGGGAGAATCTCTCCGAGCTCCACGACCTCATGAATCTCATCTCCATCTTTCCTCCAGAACATCATGGCTCTGTCAGGGTAGAAACCTGTAGCGTGGCAGCTGAGTGGAGAGGAGGGAGACTTCTGGAGGAGAGACACTGAGGGAAGGTCTGCACAGAGAGAAGCAAGTGAAGACATATGTGCACAGTAAACCTGGATGCTTGTTCATACCAGTGGAAGATAATTGTTCCTGGTCAATCTAAAAGTGATCTCAATCAACAACAGGAGGCATGAAAATTCTTCTGGGCAAAATTAAAAAAAAAAAAAGAATGAGTAAATATTCATCAACAATGCTGCTAATAAAACAGACTATGATGTAAATCATACTGAAATGTTTTTCCTCTGGGGGCCATGTTTCCTTGTAAACAAACAACAGTTATATTTCCAGTGTTTCTCACTATAATGCATTGTGTGAATCTTTGAGTTCTAACAAATGTGTTGAATGCATTATTTATTACACCCATTGTTACACCAGCAGCATGATGTGAATCACAACACCATCATGATACAGACAAACAGGAATCCACTTATAATAAGATTGCTCTACAGCACCACTAGAGGTCAAAAACTCCATACGGTTCCTTTAAGTGAACTCAAGACACAACAGATAAGTCAGGCTGATAAAATGTAAACAACTTTTCTGTCAGATACATGCATGACATGTATAAGCCCATACAATCTTATGAGCATTAAAATATACGACTGCTACATAACAACCCATCAGCTACACCTACCTTAGCTACCTCCACACTGTCTGTATGTAGACCGAAAAGGGAATTCCACCACCATTTAAAAAACTCACTACAGTCAGAGAAGAAGGATCCGCCTGTTTTTGTGGATTACAGCAAAACAGTTCACAGCAATGTTCAATGAAACAGCAATATGTCTATTTTCAAACTTACTTAACTCATGCTAACTGTGCACTAACTACCACAGTCTCAGCTTTGATGGACAGAAACGTCAAAGCACTCCAACATGTCAGTCTCTACTGATTGGTGAGAGCTAAATCAAACTTTACCGCCACAGAAAACAGTCAAACAGAAGTTAATGTCAGACAGTTTGGAGTGAAAATACAGCAGCAGTTCATTCTGGGCAGGTTGTATGAACATTGTTATGTTAATGAAACTACATCAGGTCATGTGATTCTACCTTTTCTCTGCAGAGAGCTCTTTCCAAAGGCCACATAAGTCTTCAGCCACTCAGGACAAACATGAGTTAAGAAGTTTTCATGGTCTTTTAGTCTGACTTTGTCAGCATCCCATGTCAGTTTGGTGACGACAGCATGAGGTTTCAGAGCGAACCATGTCAGTGTCTTCAGGTCTAATGATATGAAGTCTTCTCCATCATAACCATACTGCATAAAACCATTAACCTCTCCAGTTTCATCATCCCACTCACAGCCACTCACCCTCTGGAAAATGTGGATACCTGAGAAACAGAGACTGTAATTACCAGTGATGTACAGATGATACCTCCAGTGGAAAGATGATCTTAAACATATTGTACATTGTGTGATGCTCTGCTATCCTCTCAATCAAATTACATTGGCCAGATGTTTGGCCCTTTCACACAGACCATAGGCTCTGTACATATAGACTGCTCGAAAAATTAAGGGAACACTTTCTGGTCATCGTATAACAGCAAGTGAGTTAAACTTCAGGGATATCAATTTGTCAAGTGATTGTGAATCAGTTTCATCTGCTTTGGTGCAAATGAAAGTGACAACAGGTTCAATGAAGAGGCAAAAGCAAGACTCTCCTTATCCTTCCTGACTGACTCCTCTCTAGATCTGTGTTCTGCTAGTGTCCTTGGAGAGCTGGACAGGGCTGTAGAAGGGCATCGACCCAGCAGCAGGACTACAAAATGACCTCCAGCAGGCTGCTGGTGTGCATGTTTCTGACCAAACTGTCAAACACTCGTTACTTCATCAATACGTGTGTTCAGCGAGCATGAACATATAAACATGTAGACAGTGATATTCAATATGCTCCGCCCACAGTCTCTCATCCACCGACACTAACATTATGTCTCACACAAGGACAGCATGCTAGTTCAGCTGATAGCGAACTGTAACTAATAAGCTCAAATGACAGCTGTCTGTCTGTAGACTAACTTAGTTTGACACTTATCTTAAAATACTTTTAAACTGAGCTGCAGGCTGAGACAAACAGCCCCAACTCTCTACACCAGCATGTAACCAGCCAAGCTGGCGAAGCCAAATACAGGACACACGCTGAATCATCTACGTCATCACGCTAATTTGAATCAATTTTCCAGAACTTTGAGGTGCGGTGGAAACGCAAACCACACAGATTACCAGGAATTATTTTACCCAGGTAAATACATTCCTGGTAATAAAAGTTCCTGGAAATGTTGGTGGAAAAGGGGCTTTTGATTTTCAGTGTGACTTTAAATCCAGCCCTCAGTGGGTTGATGATTTTGGTTTCCACTGACAGTTGTTACGTCATTTTGTTCTCAACAAATTAAACAATGTACATCAGTAAAGATTTTCAACTTGAATCATTTGTTCATCAAGATCTGATGTGTGATTTAAGTGTTCCCTTAATTTTAATAAGCAGTGTAGCTTCTGTTCAGGTCTTTACCGTGCCCTTATCCTGGGAGAGTTTATAACATTATAACATTTATAACATTTATAACATTAACATTAATCATAATCTAAACTTTAAAAAATACCAATTAATTTACTTTTCCTCACAGAAATGAATGAAATGCTGAGATAAAGGCCTACTGTATATTTAAAAGAAAAGTTTTCTTACACCCCTTTACATCATGAAGGCCTCGTGACCCTGTGTGAAGCTTTGGCTTCCCCGAATGAGGGCCCCGACCCCCAGGCTGGGAACCAGTGCTGAAATGAGTGCACTTTTCTGGTTTGACTTTTGGGAATGAGTTTGGGTCACTTTACTTTTCAACTAAGATACAGAGCATTAAAATACAAACTGTACCTCCACTTTGGTTGAAGCGCTGCTTCAATCTGTCAGTTTCGGCTTTGGAGACGTTTGGCAGGATCACAAGACACTGTACAGTGTACCACTCCAGCTGCTGTGGATTGTCTTCTAATGCTGTTTTCACCCAGTCCTGTTTCACTTCTACGACCTTTATATTGGTGTCGCAGTAACCCGCCAGAAGGTCATCAACCACTGCAGCACCCACAAGCTGTGGGAAATTTAGGAATCCAGAAGATGCAGTGAAGAAAAACTTCAGGGAGTGTTTTACTGCAGGACAAATGAGGAACATTCAGTTTAAATATACACATCATCATCACCCATCATAAATATGATATATGTGGCAGGCCCGTGCACAGATATTTTTGGGGGGGCCGGTGCTCATGCAAAAAAAGGGCACCTCTCTAATAATTATTAATTGAAAAAATACCCCAGACCCCACACCCAGGAAACTCTTTATTTTCCACGTTCTGGTAACGTTGTCTGCATTGACTTATAGTGGAAATGTATTTATTTATGAAAAAAAAAAAAAACTAAATTCAGGTGGCAGGCGACAATTCAAAATAAAAAATATGATAAAATATAAGACAGTAACACTCTCAGGCATTCTGTACTGCTTTCAAATATTTATTCTCCTGTAGATCAACTTGTCCTATGTCATGTTGTGAGCTGAGTCAACACATTTTACTGTGTGTAAATGACGGAGCGTGTTCTGCAGAGAGGTTTCAGTGGTTCTGGATGTACAGAGTAGAAACTGCTCTGACACAGCGACACACTGAGGATGATTTCTGCCTCAAAGTTTTTAAATATGAAGTTAACAGAGTGCTGAAGAGAAAAGACTCTGTTGAGGTAGTAGTAGTTTGGTTTTGGCTATTTACATCAATTTTTCTCTTGTTGTTACGTTCCCATCAGAACCCTTTAATTTAACCTGCGATCCATCTAAATGCTTTATTTCCTGTTGCTTCAGAAATAAGAATAAAGTCACATTTTTAAAAATTCAATCCACCCCCCGAAGACCTTGTAAACAAAATTTTGAATTTACAAGGAAACTGCTGTGATTTCATTAAATAGTCATAATAGCCACTAATTCTTATAATTATCTTATAACACTTTAAATATTAATAAAGAATCCTAGAGAACAGGCGCCTGCAGCTTTGCTCTCCTTCTCTATGCAAGGCATGTGCAGCAACAAATTGCATTCAGATTTATTTAAATTAAGTATCACAGCTGCAGCATGGGGGATCTAAACATTATTTCAAGTTCAGTTTTGGTTTATAACGACACGTGGACATGGGAATGTAATTTGGTGTCTTACTCTGCTCACCGGGCAGCTGTGAGGTGGGGGGACAGGAACACGTGGGCCAAATTTAAAATAAGACAAAATAAATAATAAATGTCCAACAAAAAAGGGCATTTATCTAGTCAGAGCGCAAAAGGGCAGGTATTCATTGTGGTCAACTTTAAACTTACAGTCTTACCAAATTCTAAAGTACTGTAGAAGTAAAAGTGAAACTAAACAAGTGTTTCCTGGAGCTACGCAGGAACAAAATACAAACAAAATACAGAGCTCAATGGAAAGTGAAGCAAATATTCACAGTGTGATCTCACCTGATGATGACACGTGACACAAGAGAAGCAGCAAATGTAAAATTTTCATCTTGTTTTGATGAAGAAGTGACCGTGCTGGGGCAGCTGCTTGTTCCGCATTTTCTTGGTAGTTGGCACTGGGGGGGGGGGGGGCCTCCTCCTCTTCCTCTTCCTCTTCCTCTTCTTCTTCTTCTTCTTCTTCTTCTTCTTCTTTCATTTAATGGCGGATTACAACCAACTTTTTCAGGTGCATACCGCCACCTACTGTACTGGAGTGTGTAGTGTCATGGTGTGTACTTCAGGTTACATTCTAAACAGGAAAAAGAAAAAACAAAACACGGGTAAAACTCCCTTATACTTTATTTTCTAATACTGTGTCTTTGAGGAAACTAAATACTGCCCTGTAACATTCCCTCATTTTCCCACTCATCCCTAAAATTCCTTCCAAGCTCCATTCCTGTTCCAGCTCATACATCCTATCACACAACCTGTTCCTTTCTAACTCATACTTACTACATTTCAAAATGACATGCTCAACACTCTCTGGAACATCGCACCCATCACATTTATCAGACGCAGACTTTGCCATTAGATACAGAGTTGATTTTAAACTAGTGTGTCCTAGTCTTAACCTGGAAATGATTACTTCTTCTCTTCTGCATTTTCCTTTAAAAACCTTTGTGTTAACGGACTTTTGTATTTTATAGTAGTGTCTTCTTCTGCCACGAATCTATCACTGCCTTTCTGATTATTGATTTTGCCTCACCTTTTCCGAAGGGAATTTTCATTATCTCTTCATTACTTAATCTTAAAGTTCTTTTGGCAATATTGTCTGCTTTTTATTACCACTAACACCTACATGTGCAGGAACCCAACAAAATTGTACAAAAATTCCACTTCTGTGTAATCTCCACATTATCACATGGGGCAGCAGTAGCTCAGTCCATAGGGACTTGGGTTGGGAACCCGGAGGGTCGCCTGTTTGAGTCCCCGTCCGGACCAAATATGGAGCGTGGACTGGTGGCTGGAGAGGTGCCAGTGGTGCTGTGGCAGTTCTGACCTCTCATTGTTCCGACCTCTCATTAGACCAACGTTTCGATATGTGATTATACTGTACTATACTGTATTTGTGTACCATAGAGGATCAGCAACGAAACAAAAGTAGGCTACTGGTCGAGATACAAGTGTCATAGAGAGGAGAGAATGAAACACCATAACCTCCTGTTATTAACTCTGGGGTCGGGGTTGTGTGGGGTGCTCTCCGCGGTGCTGAACGGCTCCCGGTGGGCGTATTTCAGCCTTGATGGTGCGCCGCGACCGGCTCTGGGTCAGCTGGGAAAGGCTTGAGGCAAAGCAGGCTCACAGCTTATGTGTTTGCCACTTTCTTTTTCATTTTAACCCACACCATGATCTTTTCCTGACCCTAACCAAGTGGTTTTTGTGCCTAAACCTAACCAGACCTTAACCACAGGGCATCATGATGATTTCGGAACAAAGGGACTTCGGAACAATGGGTTTAATATGGTCGGACCAATGGGATGTCGGACCAATGGGCTGTCAGACCAATGGGCAGACCCCCCTGCCAGGTCACCTCCTGGGCACTGCCGAGGTGCCCTTGAGCAAGGCACCGAACCCCCCAACCGCCCAGGGTGCGTCACCAAGCCAGCCCCCTCACTCTGATATCTCTCCACTTTGTGCATGTATAGGTCCTGTTTGTGCATGTGTGTGTGTCTTTCAGACCTGTGTGTAATTGACAGCAAGAGTGAAAAAACTGCATTTCCCCTCAGGGGATTAATAAAGTATATAAAATTAAATGAAATTAATTAAATTAAAAAAAATCATTAATATTTCCATCACTAGATCCTCTCTTATTGATTCATTTGTATTTAAGCTCTGAAGAACTGCAGTGGAATCTGAGCAAATGACCACTCTCTCAGGCCTAACCTCTTCTATCCATTGTAATGCTAGTATTATGGCTGCTATTTCTGCAGTAAATACAGACAATCTATTATTGATTATTTTACAAATACTTACATTAAACTCTGGTATGTATATTCCTGTTCCTACTTGTTCACTCTCTGGATCTTTAGACCCATCTGTAAAAATGGGGAGAAAGTTGTAATAATTTCTCTTCAAATAATCCTCAACATAATGATGTTATCCATATTCATCTTGCTCCACTCGCTCTTCTGTTCTACAAGTTGTAAATTTACAGTGGGTACTGGGAGTATCCAAGGAGGAACATTGCCCCATACAACACCAGGGCCAAATTCCAAATTATTTAATCCATATTTTCCTGCTATAGACTTGATATTCCATCCAAACCCTCTCCTTATATGCTGTTGTGTATACTCCCAGCAATCAGAAAGTACCGCTTTTGCAGATTGATTTTCTCCATATCCATTTAGTTTAACCCAATAAGCTAAAGACAACTTTAATCATCTTAGGTGTAATGGTAATTCATCTGCTTCCACCAGTAATGCATTAGTTGGAGTTGTTCTGACTGCACCAATACTGATTCTTATAGCTCTGAACTGAATTCTATCTAACTTTTCCAAAACACTCTTAGCTCCATACACCATACACCATACAACCATAATCAAAGCTAGATCGTATTAAGGCCATATATATCCATTAAAGATTGCTTATCTGCTCCCCATGCATATCCCGCCACTGATCTCATGAGATTCAACACTTTTTTACATTTAGTCTCCACCTGTTTAACATGATTTCTCCATATACATTTCTCATCAAACCACAATCCTAAGTATTTGAACTCACTTACCCTTTCCATGTTTTGCCCATATAATTTAAGCTGTATATCTCTTAGCTTTCTTTTCCTGGTAAAGAGCATGTAGCAAGACTTTGTATCAGACATCTTGAACCCCCAATTATAAGACCATCTCTCTACCTGTTGTATAGCCCTCTGAATGCAATTAATCACATGGATGATATTTCTCCCTCTTTTCCATATCGCCCCGTCATCTGAATAAAGTGATGACTCAATATCTCCACCAACATTTTGAAAGATATCATTTATCATTACGTTAAACAGGATTGGGCTAATAGCACTACCTTGGGGAATGCCATTTACTATTTCAAACTCCTCTGAAATAGCATCCCCAACTTTAACTCGAAATGTCCTATTGGATAGGAAGACTAGAATCCAGTTATACATTCTTCTGCCAATACTCATTTTAAACATTTTGATTAGCAATCCCTCTCTCCACATAGAGTCGTATGCCTTCTCAATGTCAAAATACACTATAGCCATGACCTCTTTCATACTAACTGCTTTTTCCGCCTCATTACTAACGTTCACCAAAGCATCAACTGTAGATCTTCCTTTACGGAATCCACTTTGGCATGAGCTAAGCAGTCCTCTTTGTTCTAAATAATATGATAATCTCCTAACAATGATTTTTTCCATCAGTTTACACAAGTGTGATGTTAAAGCTATTGGTCGATAGCTTCCTGCACTAGCTGGGTCTTTACCAGGTTTAACAAAGGGTAGGACTAGAGCATTTTTCCAGCTGCTAGGCGTTACACCTTCTCTCCATATCTTATTAAACAGATTTAATATTATTTTCAGACCTTCATCTGGCAGTTGTCTGAACATAGCGTAGCATAAATGATCTTGACCTGGAGCTGTATATCCTGTTCCTTTTAAGGCCATTTCCAGCTCATGAAATGTCAGGTCCATGTCAAGTACAGATCTATTGCTATCCTTCTTCTTTGTTACATCATTATTAGTTCTTAATATTTCTATTTTCCGCTGTTTATGTTTCTCATCCAAATGATTTCCACTATGTACACCTGCAAACATTTTCCCCAGATCTGCCTTTTCCTTATTTTTAATTGCTACATGATCTTCCTCTATCAACACTGGGATTTTAGCAGATTTCCTTTTCCCACTCATCTTTTTAATCATTGTCCAGATGTCACCCAATTTTACTTCTTTGCCTATGGTGGAACAGTATTTCATACATTCATTCCTCTTGGTTGACTTAATTATCTTCCGTGCCTTAGCTTCGGTAATCGATCAAGTTTTCTTGACTTGATGATTTCTTAATATTCTGAATGCTATAGCATTTTTGCATTCATCACTCCACCAGGGAACCATTTTCTTTTGCCCGCTCACTGTACTCTTATGAATACATGGTGATGCAGCATCTGTAATTACAGATGTCACTGCTGCTGCACAACTATCTATGTCATCTTCAATCAATATTCTTTCAGCAGACTCACTACAGCATTTCCTGAATTCTTCCCAGTCAGCTTTAGTGAAACACCATCTTTTAATTACATAGCTTTCCTGCATATAAACATCAAAATTTATAGAACACCATATTGGGAAGTGATCACTCCCTATGTTGTTCTCATTCTTTACATTCCATTCACACAAATTACTCATATTACCAGAAACCAGAGTAAGCTCTATGCATGTTACTGAGTTTCTTGTAACATCCACCCGGGTATCTCTACCATCACTGAGGCAAACCAATGATCTCTCCTCCATGAGTTCTTCAACTACTTCTCCATTTATGTCTGTATGTTCACTTCCCCAGAGAGTGCTATGAGCATTAAAGTCTCCACACCAAATTTCTCTCCTACCAACATATTCTGAGATTTCATGGAATGTCTGCATTGACAATTTCTTACAAGGATTGTAGAAATGGACTAACTTAATGTCTCCTCTGGGACTACACATTTCTATCGCTACACATTCATGTTCATTTGTTACCTCAACTCTTCTATATGCTATAGCATCCTTAATAAATGTCACACATCCCCCAACTTGTTTGTTGATTCTGTCATATCTAACCGAGCTGTAACCTGGCATAATAAAGTCCAAGTGTGGCTTTAACCATCTTTCCTGAATGCAACATCAGGTTTAACTTCCAGATCAGCTACAGCCTTCTTAAATTCTTGCCCATTAGAAATTAAACTTCTGGCATTCCAGTGGAGGATATGTATTACCATAAGGATACTAATCACCTTGAGACAATCCATCATAGTTTGCAGGACTCAAAACCTCATGTATCAGTTCAGCTGTGACTTCTTTTATCTCCAATATCTCTATCGCTGCCTCTACAATTGTCTTAACTCTGTCACTTTTTTTCTTTTGTTGCATTGCCAT